TGATTTCATCAAAAATTGAATTATTGGGGTTCTTTGATATGCCAAATCTAACGGTGTTTTTAGATGTTTAATTTGGGTCCCGTTTTTTAAATTGGTCTTCATTGAGGTCCAAAGGGTCCAAAATTAAACTTAGTTTGATTTTAACAAAAATTGAATTCTTGGGGTTCTTTGATATGCTGAATCTAAACATTTGTTAAGATTTTTGATTATGGGCCCAGTTTTCAAGTTGGTCCAAGTTGGGGTCCAAAATTAAACTTTTTTTGATTTCAACAAAAATTGAATATATGGGGTTCTTTGATATGCTGAATCTAACCATGAATTTAGATTTTTTATTTGTGGGCCCCGCTTTCAAATTGGTTCATATTGAGGTCAAAAGGGTCCAAAATTAAACTTTGTTTGATTTCATCAAAAATTGAATTATTGGGGTTCTTTGATATTCCAAATCTAACCGTGTATTTAGATTTTTAATTTTAAGTCCCGTTTTTTAAATTGGTCTACATTAAGGTCCAAAGGGTCCAAAATTAAACTTAGTTTGATTTTAGCAAAAATTGATTTCTTGGGGTTCTTTGATATGCTGAATCTAAACATATGTTTAGATTTTTGATTATGGGCCCAGTTTTCAAGTTTGTCCAAGTTGGGGTCCAAAATTAAACTTTGTTTGATTTTAACAAAAATTGAATATATGGGGTTCTTTGATATGCTGAATCTAACCATGTTTTTTGATTTTGGACATTGGACCATAATAGGTAAATTAAAAAAATTCAAGTTCTTAGACCACATTCTTTCTGTGTCAGAAACCTATGCTGTGTCAAATATTTAATAACAATCCAAATTCAGAGCTGTATCAAGCTTGAATGTTGTGTCCATACTTGCCCCAACTGTTCAGGGTTCGACCTCTGCGGTCGTATCAAGCTGCGCCCCAGCGAAGCATTTTATTCTCATATATTTTATGATGGTATGATACTAAACCCCTAATGGGAGGGATTGTACTTGATTTTCATATGATGAAGACATAATCTTTCAATCAGTTTAATTGAGGTCTGGAGCTGGTATGTCAGTAACTGCTAGTAGTCCTTTGTTAATTTATGTATCATTATCATTTTGCCTAGTTTCTTTTGTTACCTATTCTAACATCGGACTAGGACTTCTTTTAAACTGAGTTTTACTGTGCATATTGCTATATGTTTCTTTATTCTACATTAGCTAGAGGTATAGGGGGAGGGTTGAGATCTCACAAAACATGATATACCCGCCGCATTTTTGCGCCTGTCCCAAGTCATGATCAGGAGCCTCTGGCCTTTGTTAGTCTTGTATGTTTTTTAATTTTAGTTCATTTATGTGTTTTGGAGTTTAGTGTGACGTCCATTTTCACTGAACTAGTACACACTTTTATTTAGGGGCCAGCTGAGGACCACCTCCGGGTGCAGGATTTTCTTGCTGCGTTGAAGACCCATTGGTGGCATTCGGCTGTTGTCTGCTCTTTGGTCGGGTTGTTGTCTCTTTGACATATTCCCCATTTCCATTCTCAATTTTATTATGATCATGAAATGATTTTTAAAGGTTAGACTGATCCTCAAATATTATTTTGCCAAACAGTTGTGTAATTATGACAATTTCAGACCATTTAGGCAATCACAATATGCTTATAACATCATACATCATGTGTACATACATCACAACTATAATATCCAGAATATATCATTCTATTCATTATTTATCAATTAAATTAACATAATTTTAAAAGGACTGAGGAATTTTACTATTTTTATGTCCTCGCTGTAGAGAAGGGAGCATTAATTTATACCCTTGTCTGTCTTTTATGTCTGTCAATATGTCGTCTGTATGTCCCAAAATTCGTTTCTGCTCTCTAACTTTAGTTTGCCTCATCCTTTGAAAGGAGGAAGTATGATCGATAAGGCCATCATTTGGCTCCTGAAATTGCAAGAAAAGTAAAATTATGCAAGACTTACAAAATTATGTTAATTTAATTGACAAATAAACAGGGTAATATAATCTGAAAGCCTAAGTGCAAAAGGGTAACCTATAATGTCATGATGGTGTGAAATTGACATATTTGCCTAAAATTGTCCATTTTACACATAGTTTTGAAACTAAATAGATATTAGCTTTTAATACCCAAAAATATATATTATACACACATAAAGAACTGTGTAAAATATATTTTAGCAAAATATCTTTTTGGATATTTTTTCCTCTTATGATTAATGAAAAGATTTCAAAATGAGACTATTTATGCTGTTTTTGCAGTTTTGCCTTAAATTCAAGAAGTTTGAAGCCTTAATGCAATTAATTAAGGCAAATTAAAATCTTTAAAATACTGATATATGTCAGACTAATGTTTTATGAACACCTGTTGGAGGTTATTTGGTAGATTTATAAATCTTTTTGATTTCCCAATTCATAGAGCCAAAACAGAGGTCTTATCATACCTTCTCTTTTGGTGTTAAAACATAAAAATACATGTCAATATACATGAAACAATGTTTGGATTGGTCAGGTTTTTACCTAGACTCAAAACATAGGCATTCTAGCTTTAAAGTTCTAAAAGGAATACCTTTAAGATGGAATTGATTAATAGTCATCGTAATTAAAAATACAAAAGGACTATTCAAACAACTTTAATTTCCTCCTTTACCCAGGGGTTCAAATAAGCGGTGGTCCGAGGTCCCTGACCTTTCATTTACTGGTTCTGACCTTCCCACTGGTAGTTAGTTACACCCGAAACTGACCCCAAGTTTGAAAACCAAATTGTTATCTGACACAAAGTTAGACCAGTGTGTTCTAAAGCGGCCATTGAAACCAAAACAATTTAAAAGGTACAAAGTGTTCTTTAACACTGAGTATAGTGTTGGGAATAAGGGGCAGCCTTTTTCTGACTGAATTTAATTATGAAATTCAGAAAATAATGAAGGTAATGTAGTAAGATATGATAAGTGCTTTGGAATGGTAGGCATTGTCGTTTTTTGTTTGTTTTTTTTTGGGGTAAATTGGACCTTCAAAGAATAAAGGAGGACCTTTAAGTAGTTTTGGTTGAAGATCCTTGACCTTCCATTGCCTCAAGTAAATTTGAACTCCTGTTTACCATTTATAGAGAAATGAATATCATAAGGCATACATTTTTTACAGCGAATGACCTTGAGAGGTAAAAAGTGAACATATACTTTGAATCTTTTTTTCAGATATAAGACCTCCACCTGTACCCAGGCCAAATACATCCTATGTGAAGATTGCACAAGTAAGTTATTTCTTTTATTGTCTTGTCAATGTCTTCTTCCAATTTCATTCTGTAAGTCCATGAAGTCACAGACTTGATGCTTAAGTCCAAATTGAACTTAAAATTGTATGCCATCAAATTTGATTTAGATCTTTAAATTACTGACTTTTTCAATACAGAACAGATTTTTCATTCGTGCAGTTTTTATTATCTTGAAAATGCTTTCGAAAGTATGCTACTCTTACAAGGAGAGCTCATTATACATCTGTTGAGTTTTATTGTATAAATTTAATTTATGTTCGTATAAGTCTGGTGAACTAGAACATAAATGAAAAAACATAGCTGATTGCACTAAAAGTAAAAAAAATGCATATCAAAATCACATATCTTTACCAGGTGACAATTCAGGCCCTTTTTTAAGGAGCTTCTTGTAAGTTTTAATTTTGTTCTAGTTTAAAGAAATATAACCCATGTTTTCATTAATTTGCTTTTCAAAAATGCTTTCAGCAGTTCTTATGAAACTTTGGTGAATTGTTTATATATCTATTGATGTAAGCTCCATTTATAATTTTATAAACTTTTCATTTATCATTTCTGAGTTATGGGGTTTTATTCATTAAAAAAGGGGGGGGGGGGGATTTTCCAGTTTTCGGACAATAACTCAAAAATGCTGTTGGCAATTCTCATGAAACTTTGGTGAATTATTTATATCTATTGATGTAAGCTCCCTTTACATTTTCATAAATTTCTAATATGACATTGAGAATTAATTGAACTTTATTTGTTTATAGTCTGACAACAGATTTACTAAGTATTGCGCAACGGCACAGTGTATTGCACAACAGCAAGAAATCTTTAATTGAATATAAATTCAATTCATATAACCAATTTCAAGTTCTTTGACTACATTTATTCAGAAACCTTTAATGTCAAATATTTAATTACAATCCAAATTCAGACCTGTATCAAGCTTGAATATTGTGTCCATTTTTGCCCCAACTGTTCAGGGTTGGACCTCTGCGGGCGTATCCAGCTGCGCTCAGCGAAGCAGTTTATTGCCTATTATCGTGAAAACTATGATAGATAGAGAGAAACATTTGATGACGATTTTTACCAATTGTTTGCATTTTTGCATTATTTATAAAAAATATAATAGATAGATAGATAGAAACTTAGATAAGCAAAAATGATCAGCAAGACAAGATCTACAATTAAGACAATTTGGAGGAAATTGTCCAACGACTCCTTATTGGAGTTATTACCATTTCTTTATGTTTTGTCTTATATAATAAAAATTGTAATAGATAAATAGACACCTTAAATCACAAAAACAATCAGCAAGGCAATATCTACTAAATAACAAGTCAAATTTAGTTGATATAGTTAGTAGACTGTCACTCTTTTTAGGAGTGATTGCCCTAAAATGAGGATTTTTTTTTTGTGTTTGAGCTAAAACTAACGGAGATTTAATATGCAGGTGAGGTTTACTATTTACCTGTACAATTAGAGCAAATGAAATATGGTTTGTGTTTAAATGAAAGAATTTTTGGCACAAATGAAATATTGTTTGTGGTGTAAAAAGAAGAATATTTGCCACTGATAAAAAGCCCATAGATAAATGAACTTATCGAAATTTATTTTTTTCAGGTTATTGGCCATTCACATTCAGTTGTATATAAAATTGAAATGTCATCTTTTCTACATAGTAAAATATAATGCTAAATGAATAACAATATGAAGCAAACAATTCATGTACATAGGTTTATGTTTTTCAGACCCTGTCTGTTCTGACAACTTCACTGTTGCTGGTTCATCAAAAACCAGTATTACAGTCATGTGGGATTCAGGTATAGACAGAGGGCATCACATGATCACTATTTTGCAGTATCGTGTGGATGAGTCATCTGATTGGATGTCAGCTTACAATACAACAGAACATTTCAACCAGAAAGTTAATGTTTCCATTCCTGATTTAAAGCTGGGAACATCTTATCATCTTAGATTATTGACTTTGGAAGGAAATGGAAGCAGGTTGATTTGTGAAAGTAATCTTCTGACTGAAAAAACCAAGCCTGACGAGCAAAGTAACTATCTGTCTGTTAAATCTTTTTGTTTTTCATATATGTACATTGTATTGGTTGGTTTCCCAGATACTATAAGCAAAAGGCTTAATTTAAATATTTTTTCGGTCATATATTGGTATGATGTTGGCGTCGTCTTCGTCGTCGTCGTCCAAAGACACATTGGTTTTCGCACAATAACTTTAGTTTAGGTGAATGGATCCCTATGAAATTTTACCTTAAGGTTCAATACCACAAAAGGAAGGTGGGGATAGATTTTTATACGACCGCAAAAAAATTTTTGTGGTCGTATATTGGAATGACGTTGGCGTCGTCGTCGTCCGAAGACACATTGGTTTTCACACTCTTACTTTAGTTTAAGTGAATGGATCTCTATGAAATTTTACCACAAGGTTCAATACCACAAAAGGAAGGTTGGGATTGATTTTGGGGGTTATGGTACCAACAGTAAAGGAATTAGGGGCCAAAAATAGGCCAAAAATAAGCATTTTTGTAACTTCCAGACATAACTTGTGTGTTAGTGTATGGATCTCTCTGACATTGTACCACAAGGTTCCATATCACAAAAGGAATGCTGGGATTGATTTTGGGGGTAATTGCCTCAAAATTTTAGGAATTAGGGGCCAAAAAAGGGGGAAAAAACAAGCATTTTTCTAGTTTCATGACAATAACTTGTGTGTTAGTGTATGGATCTTTCTGAAATTGTACTACAAGGTTCCATATCACAAAGGGAAAGCTGGAATTGAGTTTGGGGGTAATTGCCGAAACGTTTAGGAATTGGAAGACAAAAAGGGGCCAAAAATAAGCATTTTTATACGACCGCAAAAATTAAAAATTTTTTGGTCGTATATTGGTATGACGTTGGCGTCGTCGTCGTCGTCGTCGTCGTCCGAAGACACATTGGTTTTCGCACTCTAACTTTAGTTTAAGTGAATGGATCTCCATGAAATTTTACCATAAGGTTCAATACCACGAAAGGAAGGTTGGAATTGATTTTGGGGGTTATGGTACCAACAGTTAAGGCATTAGGGGCCAAAAATAAGCATTTTTGTAACTTCCAGACAATAACTTGTGTGTAAGTGTATGGATCTCTCTGACATTGTACCACAAGGTTCCATATCACAAAGGGAAGGCTGTAATTGATTTTGGGGGTAATTGCCTCAAAATTGTAGGAATTATGGGCCAAAAAAGGGGCAAAAAACAAGCATTTTTCTAGTTTCATGACAATAACTTGTGTGTAAGTGTTTGGATATTTCTGAAATTGTACTACAAGGTTCCATATCACAAAGGGAAAGCTGGAATTGAGTTTGGGGGTAATTGCCTGAAACGTTAAGGAATTGGGGGCCAAAAAGGGGCCAAAAATAAGCATTTTTCTAGTTTCCAGACAATAACTTGTGTTCAAGTGTATGGATCTCTCTGAAATTGTACTGCAAGGTACCATACCACAAAGGGAAGGCTGGGATTGAGTTTGGGGGTGATGAATCATAAGGGGGTTCAAAGAATTGGGGGGGGGGGGGGGGTTTTCTTTCTTTTTTTCCTTTTTTAGCTCACCTGACCTGAAAGGTCAAGTGAGCTTTTCTCATCACTTTGCGTCCGTCGTCCGTCGTCCTGCGTCCGTCGTCCGTAAACTTTTACAAAAATCTTCTCCTCTGAAACTACTGGGCCAAATTTGACCAAACTTGGCCACAATCATCATTAGAACATAGGGGTAAAATGTAGATTTTGGCTTATATCTCTGAAACCAAAGCATTTAGAGCAAATCTGACATGGGGTAAAATTGTTTATTAGGTCAAGATCTATCTGCCCTGAAATTTTCAGATGAATCGGACAACCTGTTGTTGGGTTGCTGCCCCTGAATTGGTAATTTTAAGGAAATTTTGCCGTTTTTGGTTATCATCTTGAATATTATTATAGATAGAGATAAACTGTAAACAGCAATAATGTTCAGCAAAGTAAGATCTACAAATAAGTCAACTTGACCAAAATGGTCAGTTGACCCCTTAAGGAGTTATTGCCCTTTATAGTCAATTTTTAACCATTTTTCGTAAATTTTTGTAATCTTTTACAAAAATCTTCTCCTCTGAAACTACTAAGACAAATTTAACCAAACTTGTCCACAATCATCATTAGGGTATCTTGTTTAAAAAATGTGTCCGATGACCCCGCCCGTGAACCAAGACGGCCGACATGGCTAACAAATAGTACATAGGGTAAAATGCAGTTTTTGGCTCATATCTCTGAAACCAAAGCATTCAGAGCAAATCTGATGGTATAAAATTGTTCATTAGGTCAAGATCTATCTGCCCTGAAATTTTCTTACCAATCAGGCAACCTGTTGTTGGGTTGCTGCCCCTGAATTGGTAATTTTAAGGAAATTTTGCCGTTTTTGGTTATTATCTTGAATATTATTATAGATTGAGATAAACTGTAAACAACAATAATGTTCAGCAAAGTAAGATCTACAAATAAGTAAACTTGACCAAAATGGTCAGTTGACCCCTTAAGGAGTTATTGCCCTTTATAGTCAATTTTTAACCATTTTTCGTAAATTTTTGTAATTTTTTACAAAAATCTTCTCCTCTGAAACTACTAAGACAAATTTAACCAAACTTGTCCACAATCATCATTAGGGTATCTAGTTTAAATAATGTGTCCGATGACCCCGCCCGTGAACCAAGATGGCCGACATGGCTAACAAATAGTACATAGGGTAAAATGCAGTTTTTGGCTCATATCTCTGAAACCAAAGCATTCAGAGCAAATCTGATGGTATAAAATTGTTCATTAGGTCAAGATCTATCTGCCCTGAAATTTTCTTACCAATCAGGCAACCTGTTGTTGGGTTGCTGCCCCTGAATTGGTAATTTTAAGGAAATTTTGCCGTTTTTGGTTATTATCTTGAATATTATTATAGATTGAGATAAACTGTAAACAACAATAATGTTCAGCAAAGTAAGATCTACAAATAAGTAAACTTGACCAAAATTGTCATTTGACCCCTTAAGGAGTTATTGCCCTTTATAGTCAATTTTTAACCATTTTTCGTAAATTTTTGTAATTTTTTACAAAAATCATCTCCTCTGAAACTACTAAGACAAATTTAACCAAACTTGTCCACAATCATCATTAGGGTATCTAGTTTAAATAATGTGTCCGATGACCCCGCCAGCGAACCAAGATGGCCGACATGGCTAAAAAATAGTACATAGGGTAAAATGCAGTTTTTGGCTCATATCTCTGAAACCAAAGCATTTAGAGCAAATCTGACTATGGGTAAAATTGTTCATTAGGTCAAGATCTATCTGCCCTGAAATTTTCAGACCAATCAGGCAACACATTGTTGGGTTGCTGCCCCTGAATTGGTAATTTTAAGAAAATTTTGCAGCTTTTGGTTATTATCTTGAATATTATTATAGATAGAGATAAACTGTAAACAGCAATAATGTACAGCAAAGTTAGATCTACAAATAAGGCAACATGACCAAAATTGTCAATTGACCCCTTAAGGAGTTATTGCCCTTTATAGTCAATTTTTTACAATTTTCATAAATTTTGTAAATTTTTGTAAATTTTAACAAAGTATTTTCCACTGTACATGTATCTACCGGGCCAAGTTCATTATAGATAGAGATAATAGTAAGGAGCAAGAATGTTCAGTAAAGTAAGATCTACAAACACATCACCATCACCAAAACACAATTTTGTCATGAATCCATCTGTGTCCTTTGTTTAATATGCACATAGACCAAGGTGAGCGACACAGGCTCTTTAGAGCCTCTAGTTTTTTCTTTTAAAATTTTCCATTTTAAGTTGGTTATTTCTGATTTATATTTAAAAGCAAATTATAATGATATGGTAGGAGATACACACCAAACAGGATGTGTAAATTATTATATAATAAGTATTGTGCAATAGCAAGAAATTTTCAATTGCACAGTATTGCACAATAGCAAGAAATCTTCAATTGCACAGTATTGCGCAATAGCAAGAAATCTTCAATTGCACAGTATTGCGCAATAGCAAGAAATATTCAATAGCACAATATTGCGCAATAGCAAGAAATTGTCAATTGTACAGTATTGCGCAATAGCAAGAAATATTCAATTGCACAGTATTGTGCAAAAGAAGATACTTCGTATAAATTGCTTATTTCTTGATCAATTTCAATGGGGTTTTATTCTTGAATTCTTGGGGTCTTTAATATGCTGAATCTAACCGTATATTAAGTTTTTTGATTTTAGGCCCCGTTTTTAAATTGGTCCACATTGAGGTCCAGAGGGTCCAAAATTTAACTTTGTTTGATTTCATCAAAAATTGAATTATTGGGGTTCTTTGATATGCGGAATCTAACCGTGTATTTAGATTCTTAATTTTTGGTTCCGTTTTCAAATTGGTCTACATTAAGGTCCAAAGGGTCCAAAATTAAACTTAGTTTGATTTTAACAAAAATTGAATTCTTAGGGTTCTTTGATATGCTGAATCTAAACATGTATTTAGATTTTTGATTATGGGCCCAGTTTTCAAGTTGGTCCAAGTTGGGGTCCAAAATTAAACTTTGTTTGATTTCAACAAAAATTGAATATATGGGGTTCTTTGATATGCTGAATCTAACCATGTATTTAGATTTTTGATTTTTGGGCCCCATTATCAACTTTGTCCACATTGAGGTCAAAAGGGTCCAAAATTAAACTTTGTTTGATTTCATCAAAAATTGAATTCTTGGGGTTCTTTGATATGCTGAATCTAACCATGTATTTAGATTTTGGATATTGGACCATAATAGTTGAATGTCCAATTTAAAATTTTTAAGTTCTTAGACCACATTCATTCTGTGTCAGAAACCTATGCTGTGTCAAATATTTAATCACAATCCAAATTCAGAGCTGTATCAAGCTTGAATGTTGTGTCCATACTTGCCCCAACTGTTCAGGGTTCGACCTCTGCGGTCGTATCAAGCTGCGCCCTGCGGAGCATTTTATTGGAGTTATAGTACCAACAGTTCAGGAATTAGGGGCCAAAAATAAGCATTTTTGTAACTTCAAGACAAAAACTTGTGTGTTAGTGTATGGATTTCTCTGACATTGTACCACTAGGTTCTACATTACAAAGGGAATGCTGGGATTTATTTTGGGGGTAATTGCCTCAAAATTTTAGGAATTAGGGGCAAAAAACAAGCATTTTTCTAGTTTCATGACTTGTGTGTAAATGTATGGATTTTTCTAAAATTATACTACACACAAAGGGAAAGCTGAAATTGAGTTTGGGGGTAATTGCCCAAAAAGTTTAGGAATAAGGGGTCAAAAAGGGGCCAAAAATAAGCATTTTTCTAGTTTCCAGACAATAACTTGTGTTCAAGTGTATGGATCTCTCTGAAATTGTACTGCAAGGTACCATACGACAAAGGGAAGGCTGGGATTGATTTTGCGAGTAATTGCCTCAAAGTTTTAGGAATTAGGGGCCAAAAAGGGGAAAAAAACAAGCATTTTTCTAGTTTCAGGACAATAACTTGTGTGTAAGTGTATGGATCTTTATGAAATTGTACTACAAGGTTCCATATCACAAAGGGAAAGCTGGAATTGAGTTTGGGGGTAATTTCCCAAAAAGTTTAGGAAAAAGGGGCCAAAAAGGGGAAAAAAATAAGCATTTTTCTAGTTTCCAGACAATAACTTGTGTTCAAGTGTATGGATCTCTCTGAAATTGTACTGCAAGATACCATACCACAAAGGGAAGGCTGGGATTAATTTTGGGGGTAATTCCCTCAAAATTTTAGTAATTAGGGGCTATAAAAGGGCAAAAAAACAAGCATTTTTCTAGTTTTATGACAATAACTTGTGTGTAAGTGTATGGATCTTTATGAAATTGTACTGCAAGGTTCCATATCACAAAGGGAAAGCAGGGTTAGAGTTTGGGGGTAATTGCCCTAAACGTTTAGGAATTAGGGGCCAAAAAGGGACCAAAAAACAAGCATTTTTCTAGTTTCCAGACAATAACTTGTGTTCAACTGAATGGATCTCTCTAAAATTGTACTGCAAGGTACCATACCACAAAGGGAAAGCTGGGATTGAGTGTGGGGGTGATGAATCATAAGGGGGTTCAAAAAATTTGGGGGGGATTTTTTTTTCCTTTTTTTTCTTTAAAATTTTCCATTTTAAATTAGTTATTTCTGATTAATATATAAAAGCAAATAATAATGATATGGTTTGAATAGCATACATGTGAACCTCCTGACAGGAGTACAATAATCCTGTTTTCAGGAGTCTCCTCCCGACCTCCCGTTGAAGAGGAAATATGCCCAACATATCATCTCAGGCATCTGGTGTAACTCACATTACCTGAAGTTATATTTTACCTGTAAATCAATTAACATGCATAATTATATGGCTTCACTTGTCAGCTTGGGTGTCAAACATACTGGTAATCAACGATTTTTTACCTCAGGCTAACTGCCGTTGTGTAACAAAAACTGTGTATTTATTGGGTTACTTCCCTTGATTTATCCTGTTTTAAGTTACTTTCCTTTTAATAATGAAAATTTTTAAAAGAATATAAATAAAATATAAATTGAACAAATAATCATAAAAGGATGGTAAATAAATGATTTTAAATGTCTTAGGACAAGTAAAAAAATAATAATTTGAAAATTATTTGAGGATTCTATACTTCCTTTCAAGGCTTAAATTGAAATTTATATAATAACTATGACCCCTGTTAAACAGTTAGAATGATTTTCTGAGTATGCAAACAAAAACTATTTGCAGATAGTTAAACAAATGTTCTGGTTGCAATGATTGTTTTATAGAATATGAAGTAAAAAATTCAAAGAACATACTGAAAAAAAAAAAGGTTAGATTGAACATGTAGAATATAAAGATGGAGAAACTTTATAAGTACTAGGGTACTATAAACATAATAAATTGGATGGAAAGTTGAAGAAAACACACTTTAAAAGACCATTTTTACAGCACACTGTTACATTTATGACAAAATTTATGTCGATTAAAAACCTCCTGATCTGAGTCCTAATCTCCTGACCAAAATTTCCCAATCTCCTGATCTGAGTTTCACAGTCCATCACATGTATGAATAGGTAAATTAAAAAATTATAAGTTCTTAGACCACTTTCATTCTGTGTCAGAAACCTATGCTGTGTCAAATATTTAATTACAATCCAAATTCAGTGCTGTATCAAGCTTGAATGTTGTGTCCATACTTGCCCCAACTGTTCAGGGTTCGACCTCTGCGGTCGTATCAAGCTGCGCCAAAGGCGGAGCATTTTATTGAAACCTGTGAGTCCGTGGGACGCGTCTTCGTTATATCCCCTGATAAAACACATCGTTTTGCCTAGAAGATTCATGATCGTCGACATTGTTTCACTGTTTTGACAGGAAACTAAACTGGAAGTCGATGTTGAAAAATGAAGTAATGCGTAGATAAATTTTTTTGTTGACTGATAACTATTTTTATAATTAAACGTATTTCATCCTAAAATATAATAATTCTGTTCAAACTGATTAATAAATATGTAATAGTTACCGATTTTTTAAAATTTTACAAGTATTTGAAAAGCTTGAATATTTCCACGTGTTGAACATCACGTACTTATCGATTGAAACAAAAGAAAGTAAAAAATTTTGATAACTTGAAATGAAATGATATAGTGTTCCCTAACTGTTGCTTCTATTCATAAAATAGATCGTAGAACAGTGTAGATTAAATACTTTACGGATAAGAATAATTTTACTGGTCTTCAAATGAACTCGTACTGTGCATGTTGAACATCGCGATCGTAAACAAAGGTGAAAAATGTTTTGAAATTGAAACAAATCCAATTAAAAAATGATTTACGGTTACGGTGTTCACTTTAGATTTGCTTATTTTTATCAAAGATTATAAAAATTATCATGATGCGAACATCAAGTGATTATTAACTCAATGATTAAATATAATTAAAATTGATTAATAATAATAATTAATATGAACTGTGACTGACAAGTCTGTGTTCATGCAATCCCAATTTCTTATAAATACTGGCTTGTCCAAAAAAATGATATCAGTATCACAATGTCAGAGTCAGTCAAAGTTAAAGTCCTTCAATAGGGAACCTGATGACATTGAATCATCTGAACCAAGTAAAAGACCAAGAGTCAATAACCCACTACACCAAGAATTTATAGACATAGAAAGATCTTCAGAACAACTTCAGTAAGAACACCAACTAAACCAAACAAAGAGAGGAAATGGCAGTCTATATAGGTTGTAATGAACAATAACTTAAGAGATCATAACTTTTATTGATATAATAAAAACTACCTATCCAACACGCGTCATTTTAGTTTTATTTCATCATATTAAGACACAAAAAATTACATGCATCCTGGACTCATCAAAATCTATTGAGACTCACCATTTCTAAAAGTAATAAGTAATAAAGTTCCAAAGAAAGTATTTAAAGACACATTAGTGTTAGATCCAAGACGAAATAGGACTGGATGACCCGCAAATTTGATATAATTTATATTTCCAATCTTCAGCAAAGGGAAGTAATTAGATCAAAAGGGCCAAAGTCACGTGTTACACATCATATGAATGAAGTATGTAGGATTGTAGCCATATGATACAGTACTGTTGTTAAGGAAGATGAGTTAGGATCTCTTTCAAAACACAAATGAACTCAATTGTTTTCCTTTTTTCTTTAAAGTATATGTGTCCTTGGAAGATTCAAACAGTATGAGAATTGATGTAAAACCAGACAAAAATGAAATGGGCACATCAAAATGGACAACCACAAATACAGATGGAAACATTGATATAGTTGCCTTCAATGGAAAAGTCAGATCAAAGTTTCGAAGAAACGTCTATCTTGAAAATGAGACTAGCATCCGTATATCAAATCTAAGTTTTGAGGAATGGAATAGTTATTGGACTTTTCAAAAGGGAACTGGTTTTCCTGTAGTAACCAAAAAACTTGCAGAATATGTTGGTGAGAATTTTTTTATAATTATTTAGTCAACAATATTTATCAGTACCTGCTAAATTACTGAAAGATTTTATGATAAAATTGTCTAGTGTTTCTGAACCTCCCATAGATGTCTATCCTATGTAATCATGCATGTAAAGAATTTTGAATTCAAACTTGCAACGTATTACTTGAAAAAAATGAAAACAACATGTTATAAATTCAATTTGTCTGAAGATGTGGTATGAGTACCATGAGACAACTCTCCATCCAAGTCACAATTTGTAAAAAGTAAACCTTTACAGGTCAAAGTATTATAGTCAACACAGAGCCTTGTAAAGGGCCCCAAAAATGTCTTATTTTAGAAACCGTTATAAATAGAGAAAATCTGACGGGCCAAAAATGTTAAAATGTTAAGCTCTACAAATTGTCCATATATTTCAAAACTGGTAGACAACTTCTTATAGGAGTTATTGCCCTGAAATGACAAATTTTACCATTTTTTTCTCATTTTTATACGTCCGTTTATGGGACGTATTATGGTATACCTCTGTCCGTCTGTCCGTCTATCTGTCCGTCTGTCCCTCCGTCGTCAACATGTCGGACATTAACTCAAAAACTATTTAACCAATTTGCATAGAACTTTGGTGAATTGTTTATATCTATTGACGTGAGCTCCCTTTCATTTTTTATAAATTTTAGATTTTACGTTTACGAGTTATGGGGTTTTATTCATTAAAAAAAGGGGGATTTTCCAGTTTTCGGACAATAACTCAAGAATGCTTTCACCAACTTGCAAGAAATTGTGGTGAATTGTTTATATCTATTGACATGAGCTCCCTGTAGATTTTTATAAATTTTAGATTTTATGTTTTCGAGTTGTGAGGTTTTATTCATTAAAAAAAGGGTGATTTTCCAGTTTTCGGACAATAACTCGAGAATGCTTTCCCCAACTTGCAAGAAATTGTGGTGAATTGTTTATATCTATTGACATGAGCTCCCTTTCGATTTTTATATATTTTAGATTTGACGTTTCCGAGTTACAGGGTTTTATTCATAAAAAAAAGGGTGATTTTCCAGTTTTCGGACAAAAAATCAAAAATGCTTTCAGCAGTTCTTATGAAACTTTGGTGAATTGTTTATATATCTATTGATGTAAGCTCCATTTATAATTTTATAAACTTTTCATTTATCATTTCTGAGTTATGGGGTTTTATTCATTAAAAAAGGGGGGGGGGATTTTCCAGTTTTCGGACAATAACTCAAAAATGCTGTCGGCAATTCTCATGAAACTTTGGTGAATTATTTATATCTATTGATGTAAGCTCCCTTTACATTTTCATAAATTTCTAATATGACATTGAGAATTAATTGAACTTTATTTGTTTATAGTCTGACAACAGATTTACTAAGTATTGCGCAACGGCACAGTGTATTGCACAACAGCAAGAAATCTTTAATTGAATATAAATTCAATTCATATAACCAATTTCAAGTTCTTTGACTACATTTATTCAGAAACCTTTAATGTCAAATATTTAATTACAATCCAAATTCAGACCTGTATCAAGCTTGAATATTGTGTCCATTTTTGCCCCAACTGTTCAGGGTTGGACCTCTGCGGGCGTATTCCAGCTGCGCTCAGCGAAGCAGTTTATTGCCTATTATCGTGAAAACTATGATAGATAGAGAGAAACATTTGATGACGATTTTTACCAATTGTTTGCATTTTTGCCTTATTTATAAAAAATATAATAGATAGATAGATAGAAACTTAGATAAGCAAAAATGATCAGCAAGACAAGATCTACAATTAAGACAATTTGGAGGAAATTGTCCAACGACTCCTTATTGGAGTTATTACCATTTCTTTATGTTTTGTCTTATATGATAAAAATTGTAATAGATAAATAGACACCTTAAATCACAAAAACAATCAGCAAGGCAATATCTACTAAATAACAAGTCAAATTTAGTTGATATAGTTAGTAGACTGTCACTCTTTTTAGGAGTGATTGCCCTAAAATGAGGATTTTTTTTTTGTGTTTGAGCTAAAACTAACGGAGATTTAATATGCAGGTGAGGTTTACTATTTACCTGTACAATTAGAGCAAATGAAATATGGTTTGTGTTTAAATGAAAGAATTTTTGGCACAAATGAAATATTGTTTGTGGTGTAAAAAGAAGAATATTTGCCACTGATAAAAAGCCCATAGATAAATGAACTTATCGAAATTTACTTTTTTCAGGTTATTGGCCATTCACATTCAGTTGTATATAAAATTGAAATGTCATCTTTTCTACATAGTAAAATATAATGCTAAATGAATAACAATATGAAGCAAACAATTCATGTACATAGGTTTATGTTTTTCAGACCCTGTCTGTTCTGACAACTTCACTGTTGCTGGTTCATCAAAAACCAGTATTACAGTCATGTGGGATTCAGGTATAGACAGAGGGCATCACATGATCACTATTTTGCAGTATCGTGTGGATGAGTCATCTGATTGGATGTCAGCTTACAATACAACAGAACATTTCAACCAGAAAGTTAATGTTTCCATTCCTGATTTAAAGCTGGGAACATCTTATCATCTTAGATTATTGACTTTGGAAGGAAATGGAAGCAGGTTGATTTGTGAAAGTAATCTTCTGACTGAAAAAACCAAGCCTGACGAGCAAAGTAACTATCTGTCTGTTAAATCTTTTTGTTTTTCATATATGTACATTGTATTGGTTGGTTTCTCAGATACTATAAGCAAAAGGCTTAATTTAAATATTTTTTCGGTCATATATTGGTATGATGTTGGCGTCGTCTTCGTCGTCGTCGTCCAAAGACACATTGGTTTTCGCACAATAACTTTAGTTTAAGTGAATCGATCCCTATGAAATTTTACCTTAAGGTTCAATACCACAAAAGGAAGGTGGGGATAGATTTTTATACGACCGCAAAAAAATTTTTGTGGTCGTATATTGGAATGACGTTGGCGTCGTCGTCGTCCGAAGACACATTGGTTTTCACACTCTTACTTTAGTTTAAGTGAATGGATCTCTATGAAATTTTACCACAAGGTTCAATACCACAAAAGGAAGGTTGGGATTGATTTTGGGGGTTATGGTACCAACAGTAAAGGAATTAGGGGCCAAAAAGGGGCCAAAAATAAGCATTTTTGTAACTTCCAGACATAACTTGTGTGTTAGTGTATGGATCTCTCTGACATTGTACCACAAGGTTCCATATCACAAAAGGAATGCTGGGATTGATTTTGGGGGTAATTGCCTCAAAATTTTAGGAATTAGGGGCCAAAAAAGGGGGAAAAAACAAGCATTTTTCTAGTTTCATGACAATAACTTGTGTGTTAGTGTATGGATCTTTCTGAAATTGTACTACAAGGTTCCATATCACAAAGGGAAAGCTGGAATTGAGTTTGGGGGTAATTGCCGAAACGTTTAGGAATTGGAAGACAAAAAGGGGCCAAAAATAAGCATTTTTATACGACCGCAAAAATTAAACATTTTTTGGTCGTATATTGGTATGACGTTGGCGTCGTCGTCGTCGTCGTCGTCCGAAGACACATTGGTTTTCGCACTCTAACTTTAGTTTAAGTGAATGGATCTCCATGAAATTTTACCATAAGGTTCAATACCACGAAAGGAAGGTTGGAATTGATTTTGGGGGTTATGGTACCAACAGTTAAGGAATTAGGGGCCAAAAATAAGCATTTTTGTAACTTCCAGACAATAACTTGTGTGTAAGTGTATGGATCTCTCTGACATTGTACCACAAGGTTCCATATCACAAAGGGAAGGCTGTAATTGATTTTGGGGGTAATTACCTCAAAATTGTAGGAATTATGGGCCAAAAAAGGGGCAAAAAACAAGCATTTTTCTAGTTTCATGACAATAACTTGTGTGTAAGTGTTTGGATATTTCTGAAATTGTACTACAAGGTTCCATATCACAAAGGGAAAGCTGGAATTGAGTTTGGGGGTAATTGCCTGAAACGTTAAGGAATTGGGGGCCAAAAAGGGGCCAAAAATAAGCATTTTTCTAGTTTCCAGACAATAACTTGTGTTCAAGTGTATGGATCTCTCTGAAATTGTACTGCAAGGTACCATACCACAAAGGGAAGGCTGGGATTGAGTTTGGGGGTGATGAATCATAAGGGGGTTCAAAGAATTGGGGGGGGGGGGGGGGGGGTTTTCTTTCTTTTTTTCCTTTTTTAGCTCACCTGACCTGAAAGGTCAAGTGAGCTTTTCTCATCACTTTGCGTCCGTCGTCCGTCGTCCTGCGTCCGTCGTCCGTAAACTTTTACAAAAATCTTCTCCTCTGAAACTACTGGGCCAAATTTGACCAAACTTGGCCACAATCATCATTAGAACATAGGGGTAAAATGTAGATTTTGGCTTATATCTCTGAAACCAAAGCATTTAGAGCAAATCTGACATGGGGTAAAATTGTTTATTAGGTCAAGATCTATCTGCCCTGAAATTTTCAGATGAATCGGACAACCTGTTGTTGGGTTGCTGCCCCTGAATTGGTAATTTTAAGGAAATTTTGCCGTTTTTGGTTATCATCTTGAATATTATTATAGATAGAGATAAACTGTAAACAGCAATAATGTTCAGCAAAGTAAGATCTACAAATAAGTCAACTTGACCAAAATGGTCAGTTGACCCCTTAAGGAGTTATTGCCCTTTATAGTCAATTTTTAACCATTTTTCGTAAATTTTTGTAATCTTTTACAAAAATCTTCTCCTCTGAAACTACTAAGACAAATTTAACCAAACTTGTCCACAATCATCATTAGGGTATCTTGTTTAAAAAATGTGTCCGATGACCCCGCCCGTGAACCAAGTAGCCGACATGGCTAACAAATAGTACATAGGGTAAAATGCAGTTTTTGGCTCATATCTCTGAAACCAAAGCATTCAGAGCAAATCTGATGGTATAAAATTGTTCATTAGGTCAAGATCTATCTGCCCTGAAATTTTCTTACCAATCAGGCAACCTGTTGTTGGGTTGCTGCCCCTGAATTGGTAATTTTAAGGAAATTTTGCCGTTTTTGGTTATTATCTTGAATATTATTATAGATTGAGATAAACTGTAAACAACAATAATGTTCAGCAAAGTAAGATCTACAAATAAGTAAACTTGACCAAAATTGTCAGTTGACCCCTTAAGGAGTTATTGCCCTTTATAGTCAATTTTTAACCATTTTTCGTAAATTTTTGTAATTTTTTACAAAAATCTTCTCCTCTGAAACTACTAAGACAAATTTAACCAAACTTGTCCAAAATCATCATTAGGGTATCTAGTTTAAATAATGTGTCCGATGACCCCGCCAGCGAACCAAGATGGCCGACATGGCTAAAAAATAGTACATAGGGTAAAATGCAGTTTTTGGCTCATATCTCTGAAACCAAAGCATTTAGAGCAAATCTGACATGAGGGTAAAATTGTTCATTAGGTCAAGATCTATCTGCCCTGAAATTTTCAGACCAATCAGGCAACAAATTGTTGGGTTGCTGCCCCTGAATTGGTAATTTTAAGAAAATTTTGCAGCTTTTGGTTATTATCTTGAATATTATTATAGATAGAGATAAACTGTAAACAGCAATAATGTACAGCAAAGTTAGATCTACAAATAAGGCAACATGACCAAAATTGTCAATTGACCCCTTAAGGAGTTATTGCCCTTTATAGTCAATTTTTTACAATTTTCATAAATTTTGTAAATTTTTGTAAATTTTAACAAAGTATTTTCCACTGTACATGTATCTACCGGGCCAAGTTCATTATAGATAGAGATAATAGTAAGGAGCAAGAATGTTCAGTAAAGTAAGATCTACAAACACATCACCATCACCAAAACACAATTTTGTCATGAATCCATCTGTGTCCTTTGTTTAATATGCACATAGACCAAGGTGAGCGACACAGGCTCTTTAGAGCCTCTAGTTTTTTCTTTTAAAATTTTCCATTTTAAGTTGGTTATTTCTGATTTATATTTAAAAGCAAATTATAATGATATGGTAGGAGATACACACCAAACAGGATGTGTAAATTATTATATAATAAGTATTGTGCAATAGCAAGAAATTTTCAATTGCACAGTATTGCACAATAGCAAGAAATCTTCAATTGCACAGTATTGCGCAATAGCAAGAAATCTTCAATTGCACAGTATTGCGCAATAGCAAGAAATATTCAATAGCACAATATTGCGCAATAGCAAGAAATTGTCAATTGTACAGTATTGCGCAATAGCAAGAAATATTCAATTGCACAGTATTGTGCAAAAGAAGATACTTCGTATAAATTGCTTATTTCTTGATCAATTTCAATGGGGTTTTATTCTTGAATTCTTGGGGTCTTTAATATGCTGAATCTAACCGTATATTAAGTTTTTTGATTTTAGGCCCCGTTTTTAAATTGGTCCACATTGAGGTCCAAAGGGTCCAAAATTTAACTTTGTTTGATTTCATCAAAAATTGAATTATTGGGGTTCTTTGATATGCGGAATCTAACCGTGTATTTAGATTCTTAATTTTTGGTTCCGTTTTCAAATTGGTCTACATTAAGGTCCAAAGGGTCCAAAATTAAACTTAGTTTGATTTTAACAAAAATTGAATTCTTAGGGTTCTTTGATATGCTGAATCAACATGTATTTAGATTTTTGATTATGGGCCCAGTTTTCAAGTTGGTCCAAGTTGGGGTCCAAAATTAAACTTTGTTTGATTTCAACAAAAATTGAATATATGGGGTTCTTTGATATGCTGAATCTAACCATGTATTTAGATTTTTGATTTTTGGGCCCCATTATCAACTTTGTCCACATTGAGGTCAAAAGGGTCCAAAATTAAACTTTGTTTGATTTCATCAAAAATTGAATTCTTGGGGTTCTTTGATATGCTGAATCTAACCATGTATTTAGATTTTGGATATTGGACCATAATAGTTGAATGTCCAATTTAAAATTTTTAAGTTCTTAGACCACATTCATTCTGTGTCAGAAACCTATGCTGTGTCAAATATTTAATCACAATCCAAATTCAGAGCTGTATCAAGCTTGAATGTTGTGTCCATACTTGCCCCAACTGTTCAGGGTTCGACCTCTGCGGTCGTATCAAGCTGCGCCCTGCGGAGCATTTTATTGGGGTTATAGTACCAACAGTTAAGGAATTAGGGGCCAAAAATAAGCATTTTTGTAACTTCAAGACAAAAACTTGTGTGTTAGTGTATGGATTTCTCTGACATTGTACCACTAGGTTCTACATTACAAAGGGAATGCTGGGATTTATTTTGGGGGTAATTGCCTCAAAATTTTAGGAATTAGGGGCAAAAAACAAGCATTTTTCTAGTTTCATGACTTGTGTGTAAATGTATGGATTTTTCTAAAATTATACTACACACAAAGGGAAAGCTGAAATTGAGTTTGGGGGTAATTGCCCAAAAAGTTTAGGAATAAGGGGTCAAAAAGGGGCCAAAATAAGCATTTTTCTAGTTTCCAGACAATAACTTGTGTTCAAGTGTATGGATCTCTCTGAAATTGTACTGCAAGGTACCATACGACAAAGGGAAGGCTGGGATTGATTTTGCGAGTAATTGTCTCAAAGTTTTAGGAATTAGGGGCCAAAAAGGGGAAAAAAACAAGCATTTTTCTAGTTTCAGGACAATAAC